CCTATGTTGGTGGGCTTGGTATATACGTTGGTACTAAAGAGGTTCCTGTTTTTGTTATTAGTACATCCAAGAATGGCAGACTGTTATTTTCACTATTTTCATGTGTAAATCGGAGTACTGACTCTCTCTCTAGGTGTCTTTTTAGGTCAATTAGTTCATCTGAGTCTTTTACTATTACGAATATGTCATCTACATAACGGCAGTATACAGTTGGTTTTTGTCTGCTACTGAAGACCCTATCTTCGATGGTTCCCATATAAAATTAGCAAATAAAACTCCTAAGGGGGAGCCCATTGCTACTCCGTCTATTTGTAAATACATGTCTCCTTGTGGACTGATGAAAGGGGCTTCCTTTGTACATGCTTCGAGAAGACTTTTCAAGTGTGGCTCAGGTATGTCTAATTTGGGGGTGCTCTCGTCTCTGTATACTCTGTCCAGTATCATTCATATGGTTGTGTCGACTGGGACGTTGGTAAAAAGGGATTCAACGTCCAGGGAAGCGATGATTCCATCGGGCTGGGTAGATTTGATCAATTCTAGGAAATCTGCTGATGATTGTAGACTAAACTTACTTGGAGTGTATGGAGTTAGGAGTTCATTGAGTTTCTTTGCCAGGTGATAAGTTGGGGTTGGTATTTGGCTGATTATAGGGCGTAGTGGGTTACCTGGTTTATGCGTCTTAACATTGCCGTAGGCATATCCTAAGCCATAGTCGCCTTGAAGTTTATTGAAATGCACCCTACCTTTCTTTGCGTTGATTGCTGTAATTGTTTTGTTTACTTTCCGCTTAAGGTCTTCTACGGGGTTCCTCGTGATTCGTTGAAATTTGGAGTCGTCACTTAGGATGTCGCTAATTTTGTTCATGTATTCATGGGTAGGAATCAATACATATGCTGCTGTTTTGTCGGCTTTTCTTATTGTTACGTCTTTCAGATTTTTTAGTTGTTTCGCTGCTTCTTTGAGTCGTGGGGTTAAGATTGTAGATGAATATGTTCCTCGTTTTTTCCCTGCTTCTGCAAGTAGTTCAGCTTGAAGTGTGTCAGTGGTGATGACTTTTTTGTTGTCTTCTAGCTTATGGATATCGTCCAGAAGCATTTCGATTTCCAGGCGTTTTTGATGCATCTTTGGTTTAGATAAGAATTGACAATTTAGACCAAGATTTAAGAGGTCTTGTTGGTCCTGGGTAAGATCATAAGAAGTCAGGTTAAAGTAGCCATCTTTAGGACGAGGGATTTTTAGCTGTCCACCGTTTAGGGCTGTTAACTTACGGAGTGTCTTTGTTTCTACAAGAGTTTTATGTTGTTGTTTCAGGTTAAATAGTTCACTGTTGATGGTTCACTTGAGAATGAACCATGGAGGTTCGAAACGTCGTGCAAATTATACAAATAAGTGTAATACACTCTATAGTAAATCACTTCTTTTCTTCACCTTAAAAGTACGAAAATGAGTTTTGGAGAACTCCTATTTCAATTAAGCCCTGATGCTAAGAAAATAGTTAGAGGGATAGAAGCCCTAAACCAGAAAATAATAAATACAGAATATGCGGTCATATTCAATGAAACATGTTTGAAAGAAAACCTGCTGCCAGTATACACCAATATATATATATATATATATATATATATATATATATATATATATATATATATATATATATATATATATATATATATATATATATATATTTACTGCTACTACAGCGCCTCTCACCTGGCCGTTGACTCTGAGGTTCCGGAGACAGCCATAGAAAGGTGGGAAACTCCCTTGTAAAGTGTTTGCTGGTAGAGGGTGTGACAGTCCACCCACTTGTAGCGGTCCACTTGTGTTGAGGACGCGGGCGGCACGAGGCAGTCTGGCCGCCCCTCTACAAGTGTGGGCGTCGGGATGGGTGTTCGTCTTGGAGTGGTTGTGGGCGAGGGTGGAGGGTGGAGGCGGTGGTACGTCGTCTGGTCCGTTGCCCGTGCACAAGTCCACAATCATTTCCACCAACTGAGAGTGAGAGTGGGAGAGAACGAGCGAGGAGAGAGGAAGGTGATGGAGAAATGAAAGAGGATGGAGAAGGAGAAGAAGGGACGAGCAAGGGAAGAAGAGCAGTACACAGGTTAATGAGAGAAGGAAAATTGGATGAGGGATCGGAAGATAAGAGTGGGTGAAGAAAAAGAATTAAGAGAAGAGAAGGAAGCGTGAATGGGGAGGATGAGGAGGTGGGAGAGCACAAATTGGGAAAGGAGAATAACCCGCGATTAATATTTTGATGTAAATGGTGTTGGGTGAGTATTTTACACACTTTTGAACTATTAGTAATTATCACCTGACGAGCAGCTGTCTCCCGAACACTGAATTATAATCGTACTTTGTTGAACAATAGATGACTATCTCTGCTGAACAAAAATTAACTTTCATACTCCTATAAGTATTGTGAGAGATGACATTCTCACCTGAAAATTTTTAATATTGCATACTACCCTGAATTATATATATCATACCAGTTTAAACATTGAATACCTATCATAGAAGCCTGAAAAAATATATAACGATCATACTCTCCTGAACCACGAAGAGTAAAACTCACTCTATCTCCAAAAAATATCTAGTACTTTTCATTATTCATTAGTGGACTGTCCCACACATTTGAATCTGGGTATCACCCATTTTTAACATTATTTGCATCGGCACGTTGATGCCCTGATCCAATTACCTGCCATAATATTATACATTGCAAAAAATGCTGGGTTGCCCATGTATTGGCTGTCCAAGCTGCAATGTAATCGAAGTATGCATTCGTAAATGTTAAACTGTGTATCGAAAAACGACCTTTTATCAAATATAAAAATATATTCATTCGGTGGCCCTTTCTCTTGAATGTAGATTAAATATATTACATGGGCCTGACGAAGGCCGAATTTCAACCACAGTTTTCAAAAGGGATTTATCTTCTATGGTGATGACAGTACCTACAGCAAGTGTCAAAGAAAACTAGGTATAGTTCACAGTGAAGTGTTAAATGACATTTATTATAGTTTAATCGACTATAACAGGCAGTAATCGTGACCTGTCGAGACTAGTCAGGCGATTAACAACATGAGATTTGTTATGATAATGAATGAATGATATGAAATAATGATAATATTTACCACTACAAAGGAAGTCGCAACGATATTGGTCACAACAATCATTTGGATTTCAAAACTAATACCTATAGTCCAAAGTCTCTGCTCTACATCCTCACTCCTCACCTCGTCTTTCCATATAAGGTCGATCCTGTGCCAGGTGTTGTCTGCCAGGGAGTAGGAGGCGTTGAGGTCGAGGGTAACAGGGCCGCCTCCCAGGTCCAGCAGGAGAGACGGACGGCCCTGACGCAGCTCCAGCAGCAACAGGTCCCTAGCGGTGTTCTCTTCGGTCCCTGGGGTTGGTGCCCCCTGGTCCGGTCCTGAGTACAGCAGCGTGGCCGCCATGGATCTGGTCAGTACCTCCAGACTCAAGTGGACTTCGGCACAAGGCGGGATGGGCGGCACCCACGCCCACCCGCCCACTGTAACGACCTCATCTTCACTACTTCCCAAGTCTGACCCTCCACCGTCGTCCTCGAAGTGCCTAACGATCACTTTACAGCGAGAACCCCAGGTGCCGTGAGGACAGATGCATCTGAGGAACGTATCGTCCAAACAGAACCCAGGAAATAACTTTACAATGTTCTGCAGATAAATATTCCTAATTGTGAAATTCTAGTACAACACCAGACAAAGGAGCTCGCTAATCCGGACTCAGTCAACCTGGACCTCTGTGTAATCTTACCAATTGACTCTTTAAGTTTTTGTTTGCCAAACTTCACCAAACTAGGACACAAATCCGTGTTATTGGGACTCTCGGCCAAGTTATGAATGTTTAAGGGCCTTCAACCAGTGTAGCCTGAGCAGCTGGAAGTTAAAACTGACCTTGTCAAGCTCATGTGCAGTAATTTGTGTGTTGGGTTGTCTCAATAAACAAACATGAATAAATAAAATATTTTACCTAATATAACAATAATTACATAATTTGGAACTAACTTGGAACTTGATCAGTTCCAAGTTAGAAGTATAGAAACTTTAGACACACAAGCCCACCAGGGGACTTGAACCTGGCCACCAAGATGGCAGGTACGCACTTGTACCACTACACCATACTCAGAGTCCTAAAGAGGAGGAAATATATATATATATATATATATATATATATATATATATATATATATATATATATATATATATATATATATATATATATATATATATATATATATATTATATATATATATATAATATGTGTATATATAAATATATATATCTACATATATACATATATTCATATTAATTACAATGTAAATTATTACAAGAGGGAGCTTTCAAGCAATGAAATGGCAGAGTAGAGGAGCGTAACCAGGCTACATCACACCAGAGGCGAGAGTTTGGCTGGTGTTAACACACTATACGACTTACGCACATGTGTGGCGACAACGTGGGAATTGCTGCTGTTTTATCATTTCTCTTATAATTGCCTTTCCCTATTATATGCATATTTTTAAACATGTTGCACTCTTGTGCAAAGTTCAGAGGATACATGTGCCACTAACTCACGTGGTGCCCATCGATGTGTTGTGGACAGTTACTGGCAACTCACCTGGTACCTGAGGATGCTGGAATGCACCTGCCACCATTCAGACAGGTGTAGGGGGTGCAGGTGTCGTGGGTAGCAGGTGTGGTGTGTCCACAACCGCAGGTGGTGCGGACCTCCATCTTGGGTCCCACTAGCGCCGAGATGTTGGCGTCTATGATGCTGAAGCCGTCAGTAAGGGCAGCGCGCACCCAGCACCCGTCCACGCACCCGTCGGCCTCCTGGGTGGCTACGACACGCAGGTCCTCATAGTCGGCCTCGCTCTCGTTCTCGTACGTGTTCTCCAAAGGGACTGTACGAACGACCTCCTGGCATGTCCCAACGCCGACCTCTTGCACACTGACTCCTAAAATGGCGCTCAGCTGTGAAGAAAATATTTCACCCAATGAATAATCAGCCCACGACACGCATGTAGTAACCTGGAAACTTCAGAGGAATTCTATCAACCGCCCCACAGACGTACATGCATAACTTTGAACTGTAAAATGTTGAGAGAGCATATGACGGAAAGTTACTTCTTCTCGTATGTCAGACTTAATTACAAACATAAAAAATATTAAGCCAAGTAATATGCATGCAAATCTAGCTTTAATGGTTCACTTGTCTCACTGCGACAAGAGGAATGAGCTACATTGCACAAACATTAGGTATTTCAAAATATATATATTAATAAAATGAGCATATAAAAAACGAGGCATATTAAATGTTTTGACTTTGATGTTTAGGTTAATGAAGTGTTCAACTTCCGCTTTGAATTATACTTATGGTTTTACTTCTGTTGTCGCGACTGCTGCTGTCACGACTATTGCTAAAGTTATCATAAGTACTGCCACCATTTCCACAACTATTCCAACTATTACCATGACTAATGCTTCAATTATCACAACTTCTGTTACTATTATTCCCAGAACTTTCGCTAATATTATCATGACTACAGATATTATTTACACAGCTACAGCTATTATTTGTTTGTCAACACCTATTCTTCACATACTACCCAGCAATAGTCATACAATCTTATTCACAGCTACTTTTACTACAACTACTGCCACGATTAGTAGTACTATCAGTACTAATAAACGCCCACACTCACTTCTTGCTAGTGGAAGGAACTACTGCTACCACTACTCCGGTTATTGTCCTCACAATTACAACTACCGGGCCTCTAATATGGTTCATTATTTACGACACAAATGATGTTACTGCTGTTAATAACGACTTACCAGCTGAGTGAACTCACCTCATTTTTCCTATACATGAGGATGTGGTCGAGATTGGGCACACCCGGAGCTACCAGCCACACCCGTGACGACTCTGTGGCGGGCATGGTGTGGTGCCCGCCCAGGGCCTCCACTGACACTGCCCGCGTGCCCATGCTGCCACTGCCCGCCCGCACGCCCATGCTCCTCCTGCCCGCCCACGCCTCTACCGTCGTCTCCAGCTGGCTGAGTATTGATGCCTCACCCTGTGTTACAAGACGCGGTTATGTGTTGGATGTGCTTAGTATCGATCTTTTTGTGGATCTTGTTCATAAGTAAGTAATTATCAAAGAAGGCACCAAGCCTGGAAGGCTATGTAGCACTATACGAATCTTGTTCGTCTGTCACTCCGGTGTGCATGTCTTCGTCTGTCTATTTATCCTTCTGTCTCTCTTTGTTTAATTGTCTGTTTTCGTCTGTCAGTTTCTGTCTGAACCATACTCTCTTAAACGTACCTCTCTGGCCATGACCAGCTGGTAGGGGTTCACCGCCAAGGTAAGCGGGGTGGCGTGTGTGACGTCATGGTGGTTTAGGGACTTCACCTCGACTGTGACGTTGGCCCTGACCCCAAATTGACCTTGGCTGACGTCGTTGACCTTGAAGCTTAGCTCGTACCTGATGGACATGATACGTGTTCCCTTGAAAACAATAAACAAAGATGAGACAGTTTCATTGCTATCCATGACTCAACGTTTAATGAAGATTAAGAATGTTTAATTGATAGTCTAGAACAACAAATGGAGCACAAGTCCAATCCGGTCCTCAGGAATAACGTCCAAATACTCATTAATACAGCAGTAAAACTCCCTGTTTGTGAATAAGGATCATTTACATTTGACACACAACTCGTTAGGTTCAAATTCGTCCTGGATAGTACTTCTCTTTTTACCCGTGGTCGAATCTCACCGCACTAAATGCTCCGTCCATGTACTTAAAATACAAATAACTGCCAGCCTTCACCTTCCTTCCTTCACCTACCTACCTCCAGGTGGGAAGGGAACCTTCACCTACCTACCTCCAGGTGGGAAGGGAACCCTCACCTACCTACCTCCAGGTGGGAAGGGAACCGTCACCTACCTACCTCCAGGTGGGAAGGGAACCGTCACCTACCTACCTCCAGGTGGGAAGGGAACCTTCACCTACCTACCTCCAGGTGGGAAGGGAACCGTCACCTACCTACCTCCAGGTGGGAAGGGAACCCTCACCTACCTACCTCCAGGTGGGAAGGGAACCCTCACCTACCTACCTCCAGGTGGGAAGGGAACCGTCACTTGCCTACCTCCAGGTGGGAAGGGAACCCTCACCTACCTACCTCCAGGTGGGAAGGGAACCGTCACCTTCCTACCTCCAAGTGGGAAGGGAACCGTCACTTGCCTACCTCCAGGAGGGAAGGGAACCGTCACTTGCCTACCTCCAGGTGGGAAGGGAACCCTCACCTACCTACCTCCAGGTGGGAAGGGAACCGTCACCAACCTACCTCCAGGTGGGAAGGGAACCGTCACCTACCTACCTCCAGGTGGGAAGGGAACCGTCACCTACCTACCTCCAGGTGGGAAGGGAACCGTCACCTACCTACCTCCAGGTGGGAAGGGAACCCTCACCTACCTACCTCCAGGTGGGAAGGGAACCCTCACCTACCTACCTCCAGGTGGGAAGGGAACCGTCACTTGCCTACCTCCAGGTGGGAAGGGAACCCTCACCTACCTACCTCCAGGTGGGAAGGGAACCGTCACCTTCCTACCTCCAAGTGGGAAGGGAACCGTCACTTGCCTACCTCCAGGAGGGAAGGGAACCGTCACTTGCCTACCTCCAGGTGGGAAGGGAACCCTCACCTACCTACCTCCAGGTGGGAAGGGAACCGTCACCTACCTACCTCCAGGTGGGAAGGGAACCGTCACTTGCCTACCTCCAGGTGGGAAGGGAACCTTCACCTTCCTACCTCCAGGTGGGAAGGGAACCGTCACTTGCCTACCTCCAGGAGGAAAGGGAACCGTCACTTGCCTACCTCCAGGTGGGAAGGGAACCGTCACCTGCCTACCTCCAGGAGGGAAGGGAACCGTCACCTGCCTACCTCCAGGTGGGAAGGGAACCCTCACCTGTCTACCTCCAGGTGGGAAGGGAACCGTCACCTGTCTACCTCCAGGTGGGAAGGGAACCGTCACCTACCTACCTCCAGGAGGGAAGGGAACCGTCCCTTGCCTACCTCCAGGTGGGAAGGGAACCCTCACCTGCCTACCTCCAGGAGGGAAGGGAACCGTCACCTACCTACCTCCAAGAGGGAAGGGAACCGTCACCTGCCTACCTCCAGGTGGGAAGGGAACCCTCACTTGCCTACCTCCAGGAGGGAAGGGAACCGTCACCTACCTACCTCCAGGTGGGAAGGGAACCGTCACCTACCTACCTCCAGGTGGGAAGGGAACCTTCACCTACCTACCCCCAGGTGGGAAGGGAACCTTCACCTACTTGCCTCCAGGTGGGAAGGGAACCGTCACCTACCTACCTCCAGGTGGGAAGGGAACCTTCACCTTCCTACCTCCAGGTGGGAAGGGAACCGTCACTTACATAACTCCAGGAGGAAAGGGAACCGTCACTTGCCTACCTCCAGGTGGGAAGGGAACCGTCACCTGCCTACCTCCAGGAGGGAAGGGAACCGTCACCTGCCTACCTCCAGGTGGGAAGGGAACCCTCACCTGTCTACCTTCAGGTGGGAAGGGAACCGTCACCTACCTACCTCCAGGTGGGAAGGGAACCTTCACCTACCTACCTTCAGGTGGGAAGGGAACCCTCACCTACCTACCTCCAGGTGGGAAGGGAACCTTCACCTACCTACCTTCAGGTGGGAAGGGAACCCTCACCTACCTACCTCCAGGTGGGAAGGGAACCTTCACCTACCTACCTCCAGGTGGGAAGGGAACCGTCACCTACCTACCTCCAGGTGGGAAGGGAACCGTCACCTACCTACCTCCAGGTGGGAAGGGAACCTTCACCTACCTACCTCCAGGTGGGAAGGGAACCGTCACCTACCTACCTCCAGGTGGGAAGGGAACCTTCACCTACCTACATTCAGGTGGGAAGGGAACCCTCACCTACTTACCTCCAGGTGGGAAGGGAACCTTCACCTACCTACCTCCAGGTGGGAAGGGAACCTTCACCTACCTACCTCCAGGTGGGAAGGGAACCGTCACCTACCTACCTCCAGGTGGGAAGGGAACCGTCACCTACCTACCTCCAGGTGGGAAGGGAACCTTCACCTACCTACCTCCAGGTGGGAAGGGAACCCTCACCTACCTACCTCCAGGTGGGAAGGGAACCCTCACCTACCTACCTCCAGGTGGGAAGGGAACCGTCACTTGCCTACCTCCAGGTGGGAAGGGAACCGTCACTTGCCTACCTCCAGGTGGGAAGGGAACCCTCACCTACCTACCTCCAGGTGGGAAGGGAACCGTCACCTTCCTACCTCCAGGTGGGAAGGGAACCGTCACCTACCTACCTCCAGGTGGGAAGGGAACCGTCACTTGCCTACCTCCAGGTGGGAAGGGAACCTTCACCTTCCTACCTCCAGGTGGGAAGGGAACCGTCACTTGCCTACCTCCAGGAGGAAAGGGAACCGTCACTTGCCTACCTCCAGGTGGGAAGGGAACCGTCACCTGCCTACCTCCAGGAGAGAAGGGAACCGTCACCTGCCTACCTCCAGGTGGGAAGGGAACCCTCACCTGTCTACCTCCAGGTGGGAAGGGAACCGTCACCTGTCTACCTCCAGGTGGGAAGGGAACCGTCACCTACCTACCTCCAGGAGGGAAGGGAACCGTCACTTGCCTACCTCCAGGTGGGAAGGGAACCGTCACCTGCCTACCTCCAGGAGGGAAGGGAACCGTCACCTGCCTACCTCCAGGTGGGAAGGGAACCCTCACTTGCCTACCTCCAGGAGGGAAGGGAACCGTCACCTGCCTACCTCCAGGAGGGAAGGGAACCGTCACCTGCCTACCTCCAGGTGGGAAGGGAACCCTCACTTGCCTACCTCCAGGAGGGAAGGGAACCGTCACCTACCTACCTCCAGGTGGGAAGGGAACCGTCACCTACCTACCTCCAGGTGGGAAGGGAACCTTCACCTACCTACCCCCAGATGGGAAGGGAACCTTGACCTACTTGCCTCCAGGTGGGAAGGGAACTGTCACCTACCTACCTCCAGGAGGGAAGGGAACCGTCACTTGCCTACCTCCAGGAGGAAAGGGAACCGTCACTTGCCTACCTCCAGGTGGGAAGGGAACCGTCACCTGCCTACCTCCAGGAGGGAAGGGAACCGTCACCTGCCTACCTCCAGGTGGGAAGGGAACCGTCACCTACCTACCTCCAGGTGGGAAGGGAACCGTCACTTGCCTACCTCCAGGTGGGAAGGGAACCTTCACCTTCCTACCTCCAGGTGGGAAGGGAACCGTCACTTGCCTACCTCCAGGAGGAAAGGGAACCGTCACTTGCCTACCTCCAGGTGGGAAGGGAACCGTCACCTGCCTACCTCCAGGAGGGAAGGGAACCGTCACCTGCCTACCTCCAGGTGGGAAGGGAACCCTCACCTGTCTACCTCCAGGTGGGAAGGGAACCGTCACCTGTCTACCTCCAGGTGGGAAGGGAACCGTCACCTACCTACCTCCAGGAGGGAAGGGAACCGTCACCTGCCTACCTCCAGGAGGGAAGGGAACCGTCACCTGCCTACCTCCAGGTGGGAAGGGAACCCTCACTTGCCTACCTCCAGGAGGGAAGGGAACCGTCACTTGCCTACCTCCAGGTGGGAAGGGAACCGTCACCTACCTACCTCCAGGTGGGAAGGGAACCGTCACCTGCCTACCTCCAGGAGGGAAGGGAACCGTCACCTGCCTACCTCCAGGTGGGAAGGGAACCCTCACTTGCCTACCTCCAGGAGGGAAGGGAACCGTCACCTACCTACCTCCAGGTGGGAAGGGAACCGTCACCTACCTACCTCCAGGTGGGAAGGGAACCTTCACCTACCTACCCCCAGGTGGGAAGGGAACCTTCATCTACTTGCCTCCAGGTGGGAAGGGAACTGTCACCTACCTACCTCCAGGAGGGAAGGGAACCGTCACCTACCTACCTCCAGGTGGGAAGGGAACCGTCACCTACCTACCTCCAGGTGGGAAGGGAACCGTCACCTACCTACCTCCAGGTGAGAAGGGAACCTTCACCTACCTACCTCCAGGTGGGAAGGGAACCGTCACCTACCTACCTCCAGGTGGAAGGAACCGTCACCTACCTACCTCCAGGTGGGAAGAGAACCTTCACCTACCTACCTCCAGCTGGGAAGGGAACCGTCACCTACCTACCTCCAGGTGGGAAGGGAACCTTCACCTACCTACCTCCAGGTGGGAAGGGAACCTTCACCTACCTGCCTCCAGGTGGAGGGGAACCTTCACCTACCTACCTGCAGGTGAGAAAGGAACCTTCACCTACCTACCTGCAGGTGGGAAGGGAACCGTCACCTACCTACCTCCAGGTGGGAAGGGAACCGTCACTTGCCTACCTCCAGGTGGGAAGGGAACCTTCACCTTCCTACCTCCAGGTGGGAAGGGAACCGTCACTTGCCTACCTCCAGGAGGAAAGGGAACCGTCACTTGCCTACCTCCAGGTGGGAAGGGAACCGTCACCTGCCTACCTCCAGGAGGGAAGGGAACCGTCACCTGCCTACCTCCAGGTGGGAAGGGAACCCTCACCTGTCTACCTCCAGGTGGGAAGGGAACCGTCACCTGTCTACCTCCAGGTGGGAAGGGAACCGTCACCTACCTACCTCCAGGAGGGAAGGGAACCGTCACCTGCCTACCTCCAGGAGGGAAGGGAACCGTCACCTGCCTACCTCCAGGTGGGAAGGGAACCCTCACTTGCCTACCTCCAGGAGGGAAGGGAACCGTCACTTGCCTACCTCCAGGTGGGAAGGGAACCGTCACCTACCTACCTCCAGGTGGGAAGGGAACCGTCACCTGCCTACCTCCAGGAGGGAAGGGAACCGTCACCTGCCTACCTCCAGGTGGGAAGGGAACCCTCACTTGCCTACCTCCAGGAGGGAAGGGAACCGTCACCTACCTACCTCCAGGTGGGAAGGGAACCGTCACCTACCTACCTCCAGGTGGGAAGGGAACCTTCACCTACCTACCCCCAGGTGGGAAGGGAACCTTCATCTACTTGCCTCCAGGTGGGAAGGGAACTGTCACCTACCTACCTCCAGGAGGGAAGGGAACCGTCACCTACCTACCTCCAGGTGGGAAGGGAACCGTCACCTACCTACCTCCAGGTGGGAAGGGAACCTTCACCTACCTACCTCCAGGTGAGAAGGGAACCTTCACCTACCTACCTCCAGGTGGGAAGGGAACCGTCACCTACCTACCTCCAGGTGGGAAGGGAACCGTCACCTACCTACCTCCAGGTGGGAAGAGAACCTTCACCTACCTACCTCCAGCTGGGAAGGGAACCGTCACCTACCTACCTCCAGGTGGGAAGGGAACCTTCACCTACCTACCTCCAGGTGGGAAGGGAACCTTCACCTACCTGCCTCCAGGTGGAGGGGAACCTTCACCTACCTACCTGCAGGTGAGAAAGGAACCTTCACCTACCTACCTGCAGGTGGAAGGGAACCTTCACCTACCTACCTCCAGGTGAGAAAGGAACCTTCACCTACCTACCTGCAGGTGGAAGGGAACCTTCACCTACCTGCCTCCAGGTGGGAAGGGAACTGTCACCTACCTACCTCCAGGAGGGAAGGGAACTGTCACCTACCTACCTCCAGGAGGGAAGGGAACCGTCACGTACCTTCCTCCAGGTGGGAAGGGAACCGTCACCTACCTACCTCCAGGTGGGAAGGGAACCTTCACCTACCTAGCTCCAGGTGGGAAGGGAACCTTCACCTACCTACCTCCAGGTGGAAGGGAACCGTCACCTACCTACCTCCAGGTGGGAAGGGAACCTTCACCTACCGCCCTCCAGGTGGGAAGGGAACCTTCACCTACCTACCTCCAGGTGGGAAGGGAACCTTCACCTACCGGCCGTCAGGAGTGTCGGGGGCCATAGTGAGGTCGCCGGTGTCGGTGTCAAGGAAGAAGCCAGACAGATGGTGTCTCCAGGAGTACGTCTTGGCGGCGGCGTCCCAGTCGTCGGGGTCCTGGACGTACACTCTCCCCAGGGGCACCGGCCTCCCCTGTGGCTGGGGGAGAGAGAGGAAGGTCAGAGTGACACTCTCCCCAGGGGCACCGGCCTCCCCTGTGGCTGGGGGAGAGAGAGGAAGGTGAGAATGACACTCTCCCCAGGGGCACCGGCCTCCCCTGAGGCTGGGGGAGAGAGAGGAAGGTGAGTGTGACACTCTTCTCTGGGGCGCTGGCATTCCTGTGATTTTTTATTTCACTTCGTAGTGAATTCACACACACACACACACACACACACACACACATACACATGCACACACAGTCATCGCTCAGGGATCGTAGTCCATGGGCCCGGGTTCAATTCCCGGTAGAGGAAGAAACAGACGGGAAAAGTTTCTTTCACCTGAAGCCCCCTGTTCACGTAGCAGTAAATAGGTACATAAGAATAAGACCGCTCGTTCGGGCTACATCGTAGGTATTTGTGCATTCGAGAGAAATGTGTGTGATAGAGGAAAAATAAGTCTGGAGTAAGAAAGGCGGAGTCCAAGAGCTGACACCTCGATCCTTAACGGCACAAACTGTAAATGCTCATAGTAACTACACACACGCATATACACGAACACACGCATTTATTAACAAGAATAAACACAAATGGGAAGAGTATTTCACCTAATTCTGCTCTTCACCTATCTGTATATAGTTACCTTGGAGTTAGTCAGCTGCTGCGGCCTGCATCCTGGGGATGCATATATATAAGTAAGATAACAATTTATGTATTAGCCGATGAGGAACCATTATGTCGTGAGACGTTACACACGACAACCGACGGTTAGAAGGGCGGGATGCAGAGCCACGAGCTGGATCCTGTAAACACACATAGTAAATAGGAACAGTAAATACACACACACTCACATACAGCCCTCACTTGGCCCTCAGCCTACCTCTCCTCGAGATTCACTCTCTGACCCCACGGTCGGGAGCCGGTCGGCCGAGCGGACAGCACACTGTACTTGTGATCCTGTGGTCCTGAGTTCGATCCCGGGCGCCGGCGAGAAACAATGGGCAGAGTTTCTTTCACCTTATGCCCCTGTTACCTAGCAGTAAAATAGGTATCTGGGTGTTAGTCAGCTGTCACGGGCTGCTTCTTGGGGGGTGGAGGTCTGGTCGAGGACCGGGCCGCGGGGACACTAGAGCCCCAAAATCATCTCATAATACCCTCAAGATAACCCCTCCCCCACCGGCCCATCATCCCTCTACCGCCGTTCAGCGCCCACTCCCGTACTTGCATCAATTCCTCTCTAACCATCAACTTATCATCACAACCAGCACTTAATCTAACTTCTCATTTACATCTCACACCAGTAGAAACATATTAAAAACTATTTTCTGAGAACACAGGTAATATCGTGTTCAATGAATGCCTTAAGAAATAGTTTACAAATACTGTTGGAGTTACAAATAAAATTGAGGAAATAAAAGAGAGTTTGAGAAAAAGTTCAGAATATTATTGCAGTATTGGTAAACCAAGATAAATAATATCATCTCAGATGTAATATTTTCAGGAGATTACTAGCCATTACAAAAATAAAGGTTACAAATACAGGGAGGGGTTGTAGCACTCCTAGTTACAAAAAAAAGTTTGACAGTGAAAGTTTGAGGAACTATGTTAATGCAACTGTATACACAGTGTTGGAAGAATGCAGAAACGCATTTTGGGTGAGGCTAATAGCTCTTGTACATTTTCAGTGTTACTTCTGAAGCAGTGGGTCCTTAAACTGACCATCTCTCGGGGTGTTGACGAGACCCACGGGGTCACCGCCTAATGTTATTCCAGTTAAAGAGCCAATATGAATGGTAAAAAAAAAATAATAATGGGAGTACGTAACCTCCCCACTGTTTCAGTGGCCAATCATTAAAGGCTCAACTGAGTGTAGACAAATTATAATGGCTATCTTGTGGTTATTTTAAAAGGATTTCGGGGATTAGCGTCCCCCGCGGCCCGGTCCTCGACCAGGCCTCCTTTTTGTTACAACCCCCCAGGAAGCAGCCCGTAGCAGCTGTCTAACTCCCAGGTACCTATTTACTGCTAGATAAACAGATGCAACAGGGTGAAAGAAACTCTGCCCATTTGTTTCCACTATCGCCTGGGATCGTACCCGGAACCTCAGAACTACGAATCCGAAGCCCTGTCCACTCAGCTGTCAGGCCCCGTTATTGGTTAGAGAGTACAGTACACTTATTTCAAGTTGTTGATGTCCGATGACCGGTTGGGGGAAGGGGGGAGGGAATTATCAGGGGTAAGGCCTCAAGCCATTACGACTATATAGCACTTGGAAGGGGTCAGGATAAGGATTTGAGCTGGGACGGAGGGAAAGGAATGGTGCCCAACCACTTGGACGGTCGGAGATTGAACGCCGACCTGCATGAAGCGAGACTGTTGCTCTACCGTCTAGCCCAAGTGGTTGGGTTCGGGAAGAGGGAGATGACGGTGAGTTTGAGGTCCAACAAGTTGGTACTGAAGTTCCTTCAGTACCAACCCAGTGACTGATAGAAGGAAAGTGACAACAGAGACTTCCCACACTGTGTGGGCAGTGCCTGCAGGGTGACACTGACCTGCAGGGGTATGGGTAATGAACAGCCTGTAGGATGACATTTCTCTGCAGGGTGTGGACAGTGACTGTAGCCTGGAGGGTGGCCCTGACCTGGAGGGTGTAGAAAGTAACTATAGGCTGGAGGGTGGCACTGACCATCAGGGCGGCACTGATCTGAAGGGTGTGGACAGTGACTATAGCCTGGAGGGTGGCCCTGACCTGGAGGGAATGGACTGTGACTATAGCCTGAAAAAGTGGCACTGACCTGGCGGGTGGCACTGACCTGGAGGGTGTGGACAGTGACAGTCTTGGCGGCGGGGGTCATGGGGTTGTCGTTGAGGTCGCCCACATGGACGGTGAGGGTGGCGGTGGCGGTGAGGGGCGGCCAGCCGGCGTCCGCCACCACCAGCGGCACCAGCAGGGAGCGCCGCTCCTCCCTGTCTACCCCCGCCCGCGTCCACACCACGCCCACGCCACGCCCCTCGTCCCCTCCTGCAGGAGAATTCAGTGGTTAATATACCACCGGCTAGTACGGCCACGCCATTCGTATTCCTTTGAAGAAGAACATAAAGGGGCATACTGTATCAACAACAATAATTCAATGGCAATATCCAGGCTCAGACACACACACACGCCCGGATTACGCCCTCAATATGCCAACAAGCTGTTTCAGACGACAAACCCTAAATCACTAAAGTCCAGAGTAAGTCCTTCAGATTTGTGTATCAGACCGAGCAGCGTTGATGGTGTGGAGAGCACCGCCGCCTTCACTGCTGCTGTCGCCGGTCACTGCCGCCAGCCCCATACATATCACCTCCACCACCACCAGCAACCCGACAACCATTACCACCAGCACCCTTGACAACTATCACTATTACCACCACCACCTGCAGCCCTGTAACCTGGACCACTGCAGCACCACCACCATCTCTACCTCCATCACAACTACCACCACCACCACTACCACTAACAGCTTCAATAGCACCAGAGAGAGAGAGAGTATTACATAAATGATGCCCAGAAAGGTCAGCAGAGGTTTTGATTAATCCTGCACTCATGCTCTCGGGAGTGAACGTTCTATGTGTGCCACGAAAGCTTGGCTGAAAAGAACAGTAAATCTCTCCTCGAAATTCTCTCTCTGCCCCTGAATATAACCAACAATATTACCACTGGGAACACTGTCTTCGGTCAGTGAATTGGCTAATATATATATATATATATATATATATATATATATATATATATATATATATATGTCGTACCTAGTAGCCAGAACGTACTTTTTGGCCTACTATGCAAGGCCAAATTTGCCTAATAAGCCAAGTTTTCTTGAATTAATATATTTTCTCTAATTTTTTTCTTAAGAAATGATAAAGCTACCCATTTCATTATGTATGAGGTCAATTTTTTTTATTGGAGTTAAAATTAACGTAGATATATGACCGAACCTAACCAACCCTACCTAACCTAACCTAACCTATCTCTATAGGTTAGGTTAGGTTAGGTAGCCGAAAAAGTTAGGTTAGGTTAGGTTAGGTAGGTTAGGTAGTCGAAAAACAATTAATTCATGAAAACTTGGCTTATTAGGCAAATTTGGCCTTGCATAGTGGGCTGAGAAGTACGTTCTGGCTATTAGGTACGACATATATATATATATATATATATATATATATATATATATATATATATATATATATATATATATATATATATATATATATATATATATATATAATATATATATATATATATATATATATATATGTGTATATGTCGTACCTAGTAGCCAGAACGCACTTCTCAGCATACTATGCAAGGCCCAATTGCCTAATAAGCCAAGTTTTCATGAATTAATTGTTTTTCAACTATCTAACCTACCTAACCTAACCTAACCTAACTTTTTCGGCTACCTAACCCAACCTAACCTATAGAGATAGGTTAGGTTAGTTTAGGTAGGGTTGGTTAGGTTAGGTCATATATCTACGTTAATTTTAACTCCAATAAAAAAAATTGACATCATACATAATGAAATGGGTAGCTTTATCATTTCATAAGAAAAAAATTTGAGAAAATATATTATTTCAGGAAAACTTGGTTTATTAAGCAAATCGGGCCTTGCATAGTTGGCCGAGAAGTGCGTTCTGGCTACTAGGTACGACATATATATATATATATATATATATATATATGTCGTACCTAATAGCCAGAACGCACTTATCAGCCTACTATTCAAGGCCCGATTTGCCTAATAAGCCAAGTTTTCATGAATTAATGTTTTTTCGTCTACCTAACCTACCTAACCTAACCTAACCTAGCTTTTTTTGGCTACCTAACCTAACATTACCTATAAATATAGGTTAGGTTAGGTTAGGTAGGGTTGGTTAGGTTCGGTCATATATCTACGTTAATTTTAACTCCAATAAAATAAAATTGACCTCATACATAGAGAAAAGGGTTGCTTTATCATTTCATAAGAAAAAAATTATAGTAAATATATTAATTCAGGAAAACTTGGCTTATTAGGCAAATCGGGCCTTGAATAGTAGGCTGAAAAGTGAGTTCTGGCTACTAGGTACGACATATATATATATATATATATATATATATGTCGTACCTAGTAGCCAGAACTCACTTCTCAGCCTACTATTCAAGGCCCGATTTGCCTAATAAGCCAAGTTTTCCTGAATTAATATATTTACTATAATTTTTTTCTTATGAAATGATAAAGCAACCCTTTTATCTATGTATGAGGTCAATTTTTTTTTATTGGAGTTAAAATTAACGTAGATATATGACCGAACCTAACCAACCTTACCTAACCTAACCTAACCTATATTTATAGGTAAGGTTAGGTTAGGTAGCCAAAAAAGCTAGGTTAGGTTAGGTTAGGTAGGTTAGGTAGACGAAAAAAACATTAATTCATGAAAACTTGGCTTATTTGGCAAATCGGGCCTTGAATAGTAGGCTGAGAAGTGCGTTCTGGCTATTAGGTACGACATATATATATATATATATATATATATATATATATATATATATATATATATATATATATATATATATATATATATATATATATATATATATATGTCGTACCTAGTAGCCAGAATGCCCTTCTCAGCCTACTATGCAAGGCCCGATTTGCCTAATAAGCCAAGTTTTCATGAATTAATGTTTTTTCGACTACCTAACCTACCTAACCTAACCTAACTCAACTTTTTCAGCTACCTAACCTAACCTAACCTAACCTATAGAGATAGGTTAGGTTAGGTTAGGTAGGGTTGGTTAGGTTCGGTCATATATCTACGTTAATTTTAACTCCAATTAAAAAAAATTGACCTCATACATAATGAAATGGGCAGGTTTATCATTTCATGAGAAAAAAATTAGAGAAAATATATTAATTCAGGAAAACTTGGCTTATTAGGCAAATCGGGCCTTGCATAGTAGGCTGAGAAGTGCGTTCTGGCTACTAGGTACGACATATATATATATATATATATATATATATATATATATATATATATATATAGATATATATATATATATATATATATATATATATATATATATATATATATATATATATATATATATATATATATATAAATATATGTCGTACCTAGTAGCCAGAACGCACTTCTCAGCCTACTATGCAAGGCCCAATTTGCCTAATAAGCCAAGTTTTCATGAATTAATTGTTTTTTCGACTACCTAACTTACCTAACCTAACGTAACCTAACTTTTTCGGCTACCTAACTTAACCTAACCTATAAAGGTAGGTTAGGTTAGGTTAGGTAGGGTTGGTTAGGTTCGGTCATATATCTACTTCAGGAAAACTTGGCTTATTAGGCAAATCGGGCCTTGCATAGTAGGCCGAGAAGTGCATTCTGGCTACTAGGTACGTCATATATATATATATATATATATATATATATATATATATATATATATATATATATATATATATATATATAGTATATATATATATATATATATATATATATTATTAAATATGACCGAAAAAGTAAGATTAATAATTTTAACACGAATTTTCTCAATCTTTCGTACAATATGCTTCACTGTTGGAGGTAAATCAAAAATCACTTCTCCAAAATTCATTTTTATTTCTAGTCTGACGCGACACGGGCGCGTTTCGTAAAACTTATTACATTTTCAAAGACTTCACAAATACACAACTGATTAGAACTTGCGTTTCCCTGATTTTATATCTACATTTGAGTGAGGTGGGAAGGGTGATGTGGCATTACATTTGAGTGAGGTGGGAAGGATGATGTGGCATTAACACAAGACAGAACACTAGAGGATATTAATAGGGTATTAAAAGTATCAACACAAGACAGAACAGAAACAATGGGTATTGAATAGAAGTGTTTGTAGAAAGCCTATTGGTCCATATTTCTTGATGCTTCTATATTGGAGCGGAGTCTTGAGGTGGGTAGAATATAGTTGTGCAATAATTGGCTGTTGATTGCTGGTGTTGACTTCTTGATGTGTAGTGCCTCGCAAACGTCAAGCCGCCTGCTATCGCTGTATCTATCGATGATTTCTGTGTTGTTTACTAGGATTTCTCTGGCGATGGTTTGGTTATGGGAAGAGATTATATGTTCCTTAATGGAGCCCTGTTGTTTATGCATCGTTAAACGCCTAGAAAGAGATGTTGTTGTCTTGCCTATATACTGGGTTTTTTGGAGCTTACAGTCCCCAAGTGGGCATTTGAAGGCATAGACGACGTTAGTCTCTTTTAAGGCGTTCTGTTTCGTGTCTGGAGAGTTTCTCATGAGTAGGCTGGCCGTTTTTCTGGTTTTATAGTAAATCGTCAGTTGTATCCTCTGATTTTTGTCTGTAGGGATAACGTTTCTATTAACAATATCTTTCAGGACCCTTTCCTCTGTTTTATGAGCTGTGGAAAAGAAGTTCCTGTAAAATAGTCTAATAGGGGGTATAGGTGTTGTGTTAGTTGTCTCTTCGGAGGTTGCATGGCTTTTCACTTTCCTTCTTATGATGTCTTCGATGAAACCATTGGAGAAGCCGTTATTGACTAGAACCTGCCTTACCCTACAGAGTTCTTCGTCGACTTGCTTCCATTCTGAGCTGTGGCTGAGAGCACGGTCGACGTATGCGTTAACAACACTCCTCTTGTACCTGTCAGGGCAGTCGCTGTTGGCATTTAGGCACATTCCTACGTTTGTTTCCTTTGTGTAGACTGCAGTGTGGAAACCTCCGCCCTTTTCCATGACTGTTACATCTAGAAAAGGCAGCTTCCCATCCTTTTCCGTCTCGTAAGTGAAACGCAGCACGGAACTCTGCTCAAATGCCTCCTTCAGCTCCTGCAGATGTCTGACATCAGGTACCTGTGTAAAAATGTCGTCAACATACCTGCAGTATATGGCCGGTTTCAAGTTCATGTCGACTAAGACTTTTTGCTCGATGGTACCCATGTAGAAGTTTGCAAACAGGACACCTAGGGGAGAACCCATGGCGACCCATCCACTTGTTAACATGTGCCCACGGGCTATCCCTACAGACAAAAATCAGAGGATACAACTGACGATTTACTATAAAACCAGAAAAACGGCCAGCCTACTCATGAGAAACTCTCCAGACACGAAACAGAACGCCTTAAAAGAGACTAACGTCGTCTATGCCTTCAAATGCCCACTTGGGGACTGTAAGCTCCAAAAAACCCAGTATATAGGCAAGACAACAACATCTCTTTCTAGGCGTTTAACGATGCATAAACAACAGGGCTCCATTAAGGAACATATAATCTCTTCCCATAACCAAACCATCGCCAGAGAAATCCTAGTAAACAACACAGAAATCATCGATAGATACAGCGATAGCAGGCGGCTTGACGTTTGCGAGGCACTACACATCAAGAAGTCAACACCAGCAATCAACAGCCAATTATTGCACAACTATATTCTACCCACCTCAAGACTCCGCTCCAATATAGAAGCATCAAGAAATATGGACCAATAGGCTTTCTACAAACACTTCTATTCAATACCCATTGTTTCTGTTCTGTCTTGTGTTGATACTTTTAATACCCTATTAATATCCTCTAGTGTTCTGTCTTGTGTTAATGCCACATCATCCTTCCCACCTCACTCAAATGTAATGCCACATCACCCTTCCCACCTCACTCAAATGTAGATATAAAATCAGGGAAACGCAAGTTCTAATCAGTTGTGTATTTGTGAAGTCTTTGAAAATGTAATAAGTTTTACGAAACGCGCCCGTGTCGCGTCAGACTAGAAATAAAAATGAATTTTGGAGAAGTGATTTTTGATTTACCTCCAACAGTGAAGCATATTGTACGAAAGATTGAGAAAATTCGTGTTAAAATTATTAATCTTACTTTTTCGGTCATATTTAATAATATATGTCTACAGGAAAGACTGCTACCAAAATATACTAATATATATATATATATATATATATGTGTAGCTTTATCATTTCATAAGAAAAATTTTAGAGAAAATATATTAATTCAGGAAAACTTGGCTTATTAGGCAAATCGGGCCATGCATAGTAGGCTGAGAAGTGAGTTCTGGCTACTAGGTACGACATATATATATATATATATATATATATATATATATATATATATATATATATATATATATATATATATATATATATATATATAGATATATATATATATATATAGATAGATAGATAGATAGATAGATAGATAGATAGATAGATAGATAGATAGATAGATAGATAAAATGGAGATTTGATCAACTGATATGTTGTCTATTGACATGTGATTTTTTGTGACATTCTGATGGCTGCTATTGTCATAATGGCTTAGTGCTTTCTCCTGATAATTATCTCTGATTGCCCCTGACAACTCACTCTTGTCGTGGGTGACCCTGAAGTTGTCGAGGACGTGCTGGGGCGCTCTGGGGTCGAGGGCTACGGTGAAGGGCGGCCCGTGGCCCTGGCGCCAGTCGTCAGGGTCCCCAAGCCTCACCCGGGCCACCACCTGGGCCCTGCCGTTCTCCACCACCTCCACCTCCCGCGGCACCGCCAGGAACGGCGGGTTGTCGTTCACGTCCGTCACGTTCACCTGCAGGAAGAGCACCCAGCCAGGGTGAGGTCATCTTCAGGCATATGGTTGACCATCCCTCTATGGATATAACGACATTCCAAAGACAGTGACAAGTTGAGTACTTACAATGCCGAGACAATGTCAAGTTGTGTACTTTCCGTGCCGAGACAGTGACAAGTTGTGTACATACAGCGTCATATAGAAGGATTAACACTTCTGAAGAAGTATTATTAATTAAATACATAAGTACTTACGGAAATTCCTGCCTTAATTCTTCCTTCGTAGTCTGACATTGTCATATATATGTTATATATATATATATATATATATATATATATATATATATATATATATATATATATATATATATATATATATATATATATAT